TGCATTGTTTGCAATATACACAAAACCTGAGTGTGCAGAACGCACGGGCGTGAGTAGTTAAAATAATGTACGGTTCCGTACAGTTCCTTTTAGGTACGTCCACTACTGTCCAAAAAAGGGACTTTTCATACGGAGAAAGAATGAGCTGTAAAATCCCAATATACAATAATAGGACAGTGTGCCTGAGACGATCTCCGGCCACCGTAAACGCGGGTCTGCGGACGGCGAGTAAGGGCACCTCGCCGCCCGACCAGAACCAGACCCGAGCGTACGGCGCGTAGCGTTCCGCGCACTCACTCTAAGGCTATGTGAAACGAAAATCATAGATAATTGTCGTTTTTGACATTTCGAACTAGATTATTCTAGTTAAAAACTAACCTTATTCACTAAATATGACCCATCATGCAATGACGCAAATACTGTGTGTTGTGTATCTTGATATAATCTGTGCAAACATGCCTAATGTTGCAACTCATCGGATTATCAGATTAAAATGCTAATTATGAGCCAACGAACTACACAAGTACGGACGTAGGACGAATGTAGTTACTTTACCAACTTATTTCTATCATCTCAAATTGCGAAAGACGTTAACTGATATGTGTACCTAATAATCTATATATAGATATAGATTATACACCTATCAGTTAGTTACTAAGTGGTGTTATAACTGTTTGTATGTAGGGGGTAATCTTTGAAACCGCTGGTCGAATTTCCAAAATTCTTTCACTGATAGATAGCTATAATGTTCCTGAGTGCTATTATAGGCTATAAAACATCACGCTACGATTAAATGGAGCAGAGCAGCGGGTGAAGGCGCGAGAGTAGCAGGTGTGATATAAAAAAAAAACAACTACTCGATCATATATCATAAGTATACCTCGTGATGGTTTACTTCACCGTATGTCAGTGGAATCTAAATTGGGTATAAGATTTATAAGTGTGGGAGAGCCATGCTTCGCCACGAATGGGTAGGTATACCACGACCTCATAGAAAACCGGCATGAAACAACCACAGCGTTCGTTTTGCCGTGTCAGTGAGGTTACCGGAGGCCCAATCCTTCCCCTCCCCCAATCCCTCCCCAATCTAAAACCGCACTCGTAACTCCTCCGTTGCGGGTGTCCATGGGCGGCGCTGATTGCTTACCATAGGGTAATCGGCCTTCCCCTTTTGCAGACCTATTACATAAAAAACTTTTTGTTTCTATAAGGAACATAGTTTAAGGGCGGACAGACAGACAGACAAAAATTTTACTGATTGCATTTTTGGCATCAGTATCAATCACTTATCACCACCGGTAGTTATTTTGAAAATATATTTAATGTACAGAATTGACCTCTCTACAGATTTATTATAAGTATAGATAACATTTATCTGACTATTGAAAAATCAGCCCTTAACTTAAACGATAATAATAAATACGACTAGTTTGCGCCCACTCTTAAATCATCGATTGATTAGTTCACGAAACAGGGCAACGGTACTTGTGTAAAATGACGTCAAAATTAACAGTTTTATTTTAAACACGTTTTTGATTCGATGCAAGGTTTTTATTTATGCGTTTAAAACCGGATTCTTACTAATCACTACATAGTATAAAACAAAGTCGCTTTCTCTGTCCCTATATACCTATGTATGCTTAAATCTAACTACGCAACGGATTCTGATGCGGTTTGTTAATAGATAGAGTGTTTGAAGAAGAAGGTTTATATGTATAATAACATCTATGAAATAGGGGAAGGATTGGGCCTCCGGTAACCTCATTCACACGGCGAAACACAACGCTGTAATTGTTTCACGCCGGTTTTCTGTGAGGCCGTGGTATCTCTCCGGTCGAGCCGACCCGAAGCATGGGTCTTCCGCACTTGAAAAGAAAAAATCTGAGGTTGAAATCATGCAGGAAATCACTATTACACGCGAACAAAGTCGCGGGCAAAAGCTTGTATATAAAATTATAAAGCTGAAGAGTTTGTTTGTTTGTTTGTTTGAACGATCTAATCTCCGGAACTACTGTCCCAATTGAACAATTCGTATTGTGTTCGTTACCTAGTCCATTTACCGAGGAAGGCTATAAAACATCACGCTAAGATCTGTAGGAGACGAGCAGCGGGTGAAACAGCGTGAGAGTAGCTAGTATAATGTAACTCGTAAACAGTCACATTGGGACTTCCCAGGTTTCGAACTAGTGCCCCAAAGGTATGCAAGTATCTTATATCTTATACAAACATGCCTATTCAATATACCTACCCTGTTTTTCTTTTTTAATTAAGGAAAGACGGCACTCTATTTCGTACTCCAATCAATTAAAATGACTTAACAAAATAGCTACAGCAGATCTTCCAGGTATATTCCCCTTGTCCTCGACCTGCTTAGGATCGCATTGCAATTATTCAGTAGTAGTAGTAGTATATTGTCAGTCAGTCAGTCAGTCAGTCAGTCAGTCAGTCAGTCAGTCAGTCAGTCAGTCAGTCAGTCAGTCAGTCAGTCAGTCAGTCAGTCAGTCAGGTCGCTCCCTTTTACACTTGACTTGATTGCTGTTAGTTGCTCTCTAGTTAAGCTATTTGTTTGCAACCTGTCGCGTTTTCGTTTCCTACACGGAACAACTCTTTGCCCTGTACGGCGGTGTACGTAAAATTGTATGATTGTAAACGCACTCGCGATACCTACGACACGACAAAAATCAAATGAGAATTTTCTAAAAACCTTTCCGGGCTTAAAAAAGAGACTTTTTTGTTTTGTTATTTGTTACCTATTTGCCTATGTTGTTTTTTCCACTTAATCTTTGCAATTGATGGACCGATTTTGAACAGATTTTATTGGATTCGGCGTAATAGAAACGCCTTTATTTTTATTAACCGACTTCCAAAAAGAGGAGGAGGATCTCAATTCGACCGTATGTATGCTCTTTTTAAGTTTGTTCTCCGATATCTCCGTTATTTATGAACCGATTTTGATAATTCTTTTTTTATTTATCTCTACAGAATAAAGTGTACCTACCCGCGTCATTGATAAAACTAGTTTATCCCGCGTGGTTTCACTCGCTGCTCGGCTCCTACAAATCGTAGCGTGATTTTTTATAGCATAAAGCCTTCGTCGATAAATGTAGGTACTAGGTAACAAACACAAAAAGAAATATTCAATTCGAAGCAGAAGTTCTGGAGATTAGCGCGTTCAAGAAACAAACAAATTCTCCAGCTTTAATCTTTATAAGTACTTATATAATATTATAAAAAATTCGTGTCACGTGTTTGTCCGCGATGAACTCCTAAACTAGGTACTAAACCGATTTTAAATTTGATTTGCATTCCGTGTTGATCCAACTTAAAAGATAGGCTAGCTTACATCTCAATTTATAGTCACAATAGGTATATTTTATTACAAATTATTTGTCCATATGTAAGTAATATGACAAGAACCTTAGCCACAGCAACGCGTGGCTGGGTCTGCTAGTAATAGGTCTTTACTTATGAAATTGCCGTTTTGCATGAAAAAATTAAACGAATTTTTTGATTTCAAATGCGATGAAAATGTACCTAACACTAATCAATAAACAAATGACCTACTTTTGGAAAAATAATCCCATGTTTTTAAAACAAAATTAATTAGCCTTAGCCTAACAAAAACTATTTTGATTTGAAATAGCCAGTACTGCAGAACGGCAATTTCATAGGTAAAGACCTATTATTATATGTATAATAAGTACTTATAGATTTTACGCGGACGAAGTGACGTGACGGCTATAATTGTTGACATATCCACATTATCCATTCGTAGGGTCGACACAGGTGGGGCACAACGGGAATAATACAAGGTCCTGGATGGAAAAATACCTACATGCGTTTTGTTATTCCCATAGCAAAATTAATTTTGATTAATTTTCCTCATTAGTATGAGGTCATTCGTTACCAAATAGGTTTTAATCTATTATCCTATTCTGTGGTTTTTATGTATCTTTCAAACTTCCTCAAGATTCGAGTTTGAGCTCAAGAACTGAGTGCCTAAGGTCTATCGGCAATCTTGGTGTCTTTCGATATATACTTACCACGGCCTCATAGAAAACCGGCGTGAAACAACCACATAGTTTTGTTTCGCCGTAAGAAAGAGTTTACCATAGGCCAATCCTTACTTCATTAAATCTTCAAAATACTAGAAGAGTGTCAGACTCTTACTGACTAACACCTCCCCCTCCCCCCCGTTCCTTCTATTGCTTTGGGCCGAGGCCGCGGTGTTGCATTGCGCTTGCCCCGCAACCCCGGCTGAACATCAGCCCTATAGACTCCCGTCTGTGGTGGTCTATTGGCTCTGATCTGCCTGTCGTCGAACAGCGAAATACCTTTTGCGCGGGAACCTAGGGGTTAACTCCAGTAATAGTGTCTTGTAAAAGGTACGGCAAAAACGCCTAAACGTACGGTTTGTTCGACATTCCGCAAGGTTCATATAATAAACTAGTTACACCTGATGAGACATTTAAATTATCTATCCATACCTACTTACTTACAATATCGCCGCCGCCGACGTATCTTGGCGAGTCTGAAGTTAGCCGATTAGCTGCGCAGTACAAAATTTTGTTCTTAAAAGATCCATTGCGCAGACAAACGGCTAACTTCAGACTCCCCAAGATACGGCGGCCGTACTGTACCAACTACTAGGAATAATACTACCCTGTTATCAAAAAGGGTTCTTTTTGAGAGCGGAAAATCGTCAAATATCTTCAAAGGGCGGGACCCTTGGTGAAGCGAGGAGTGTCTTGATGAGTGTGAGTGACTAATCATAATTACAAAGTGGTTGTCTACTGCTCCAAGCCGTGGAGTACAGTGCGGCCGACGAATCTTGGCGAGTCTGAAGTTAGCCGTTTGTCTGCGCAATGGACCTTATCTTTTAGGAACAAAATTGTGTACTGGCAGTTAATCGGCTAACTTCAGACTCGCCAAGATACGTCGACCGCACTGTACATCGGTTTGAAAAGGAGGTTTTAAGTGACAAAAATAAAATTCCAAATTTATTGTAACAATTTATTTTACTGGCAACAAATCTCCCCAATTACATGACCTCGCACATCTATATGTAGTCTGATCATACTTTGCTTTAGAAAATATAACTTCTTTTAATTCCCCTTGCGCAGTGCAAAGCTTACAAATAGTATGTTTTGACCGAACTATAGGAGCTCTGACTATCCTGGGCCACTGCGGATCATCCGGAGAACGGACTCCTTTCTTCAATATAACATAAGAAAATAAATCTGCGAAGACCTCCGCTTTACCTGCATATGGTAATGATTCGTACTTCATCAGAAAGTTACATGGTGATTCATGTTCCAAGTAACGAGGACAGATGTTGTCATTCGGACACGGAGAGAATGCGTAACCTTCCTTCCCTTTCTTTCCTTTTAAGTTGAGAACAAATTCTCTAGCTTCATTCACTGCTTGGAACCCAGCGTTAGAACCGTGTTCGACAATTATTAAGTAGTCTTCAGTTTTATTCCATAATTTTTGTATTGTTTCTAGTCTAGATTTTAAGCTGGGTAATTCAAATAATGAGTATGCTGATAGAACAATACTGTATTTCAGATCTGACGATGCTGGAAGGAACTGACGTTGGAAAAATCCTTTCAAAGGCATTTCTACATTGTCCCTACCGTGGCAGAGGATGAGACGGGCCAGATCATGCATGGTTGGTGATGTATCAACGCAAAAGTATTCGAAAATATCATTTTTCCAGAAATGGTTCACTGCCCAGGTACCAGTTCCTACTCCGGAACCGAAGTCGAAGAAACTTCGAGGTTTATAGTCTGGGTTGAACTTTTTTATTTCGTCTAATATTCGTAATAAGACAGCATATTCTGGAGCCGCTCTACTCATTAAATACTGTAAAGAGGTCGGTTTATCGTACGCTATATTACCCCAGCGGTATACATTCTTCTTTAAAGCACTAAAAACCTTATTCTGTATCTTCTTTTCGCATACTTCTGCCTCTTCTGGTGATAATTCTCTGTCAATACTGGAATAAACTTGTTTTGAAATAGCGTTATGAAACTTTTGAGCTTTTTCGTCGATTTCGCCCTCTTCTGGTGGTAAATGACGTGAGCGGATGTAGTTGCTGAGTTTTATGCTCTCCTGGTAGTAAGCTTTGGCCCCTGCATCGTCCAGAATCAATTTTATAGCCTTTTGAATATCTGGTGGAATAGCAGCGATTTTAATTCGATTTGTTCCCGGATGTTTACGAGGTTTGAACACTTTTGCATCAAAATTGTCTTTTAGACTAGGATCTACAGCTACTCTTGTTGTGTAATTAGCGTATACAGACGTGAAATACTTGATTCTTAATTTTCTAAACATATTTATAACCTTAAAAATTATCACGATTTTGTGTTATTATACAAATGTCAAATATGTCAATATTGCACAGAAAGAGATAGAGGATCTAGGGAAGACCGTAGGACACTACTAATCGACTAAAAGTTTTGGTATTGCGGCCGAAGCCACTGGCATAAGCTAGTAAAACAATGATTTTCTCAAATCTTGTATCTTATATAGAAACTTGTATATTACACAAAAATAAATTTCGTATTGCTACTAGAAATATGAATTTGATGTTTGTTTACTTCGTGGATCATACAGTTGGAAATATACATAGAAGAGCTCTGTTTCTGATATAAATAAAAAAAATAGGTGTTTGGTACTTTGTTGATGTACCTTTTTACATTTTAATTAAAACACTTAAGTAGAACAATATTAATTCTAAATTACTATTACTCTCACTGTTCCCACATGAATTGTACATAATGCACATCACTATTATTGTATTTCGTTCGTGGATGTCAAACTCAGAATTTTCCTAAATGTACTCTGTGCTCAGAATACAGAATGTCAAATGAAGAATCATAATATTTTGAATGCATACTTACATTCCTGAGCATTTTATTAAATTTATACAAGCTTTAAAATGTTAATTTTAAGTGTAATAGTCACTAGTTTAGTTATTGCTGCTGCTGAACAAGACACAAGTGCTCAATACTGTGATAAAACAACAAAATCTTGTGGGAACGGTGACGAAGTATCTTATGACAAAAAACGTATTTTCTACGATGTAAATCCTCCTGAAGGCTTCAATTTACGGAGAGATGTGTATATGAGGTTCGCAATTATGTTGGCCGAGGCTCAGAAACAGGGTAAAGACAACTGGGAACTTGTTTTACCTCCGTGGTATAACCTCTATCATTGGAGATCGGGACGCCGCGAACCTATACCATGGAACAAATATTTCGATATAAAATCACTGAAATCTTACTCTCCCGTTGTGGAAATGTACGAAATATTCTCAAAAACGAAGAAAAACCAGTTGGAAATCGATGTTTTGTACATGTTAGAGAACTATGAGGATCCATTTGAAAATGGAGTTTTTAATGATAAATGGGAGGTGCAAGGCAGCTGTGAATACGATGGTCTGTACTGGGGCTACAACAATATCACAGCCAAAGAGGTTCTATGCGTTAAATTTCAAGGTAAAATTTCAAAACTGTGGGAATTGATCGCTCTACATCCGCACGCAACAAAAATTATGTTTACTCACGGAGAAATACCTCTACACGACACCTATGGCACTAAATCCTACTGGGATTGCCATAAAAGCATGAAATTTAATAAAAACCTTGTCCGCTTTGCCAAAGATTATATTGAACAATATTTGAACTGTAAAACGGATAAATGTGCTTCGTACCTTAGCGTTCATTGGAGAAGACAGGACTTTGCACGAAGTAGAGGCAACCAGGTACCTTCTATAGCTGGTACCGCTAAGCAGATACGTAAAGCAATGAAGAAATTACCCAATATAAATAAGGTTTTCATAGCAACGGACGCATCTATGTCCGAAATAAATAAGTTGGAAAAGGCTTTACATGAATACGGCTATGAAACACACTTCTTCTTACCGAGTCCGTCTATAATTGAGGAGTATGGAGATGGTGGTATAGCCATAATAGATCAGATTATTTCGTCCCATGCTGCTCACTTCATTGGCACGCATGAAAGTACTTTTACGTACAGAATACAAGAGGAACGGGAAATTTTGGGTTTTGATAGCAGCACTACGTTTAACAGACTATGCCCTGATACCGGACATTGTGAAAGGTCAACGAAATGGTTAATCGTAAACTAACAAAAAAAAATTTATAGATTGATTTCCTCTCCTAGTTTGTCAAGCTAAATTAAACCTTAAGTTCCAAATTTTACAGACTATTTTTCCTTGAATCAACAATGATAAAATAATAATTTGCTGGAAATATAAGATAAAAAAAATATTAAATTGAATTTGTCAGACAAGTTTAAGCTACAGTCAACCTTACTTATCAACAGATACAGTCTATATCTGCTTGAAGTATTAATAATGATATTTGTAAGACTCCCTAAAACTGGTATGGCTTTATAGGCTAACAATTTTTTTTTAAATCCAGTGTGTAAACCAAAATAACCTTTAATGACTAGTACTTAAAACTTAATTTTGTTTGTATCTCTCATAATAAAAATAATATTTTTAATTCCATGAAAGAACAGTTGAGATGGTGAAGCTAAAATGATCTTTATATACTTTAGTAGTAAAGTAGATTTTTCTCTGATGTGAACTTTTATCGATACATATTTGTATCTCATAAAATAAGACAATAAAAAGTGATCTTTGTTTCTATGACATTAAGTCTAATTTCGTTCGTAATATATTTATTTTCTAAGTTCGTAAAACTGTGCCATTATAACAAGACCAAAGAATTTTTTGAATAAATTTTTATTTTTACACAACACTTTTTTATTTCATCTATTTTATTTATATGAAATTATAAATGCTGTTCTGTATAAATCCCGGGCTAACTGAAAGTGGTCGAGCTTGTCTCGAGCCATTAAATTGGAGAGATTTTTTCTAACACGCTTCATTCGACGAATTATTATTCGAGAAACTGTTTTCGACGACAATACGGTAGTTTCCAACTAGTCAAATTCAATACTTTTATCCAAATGCCAAAAACGATACTTTTCTATGAAATTTGTATGAAAAACTTGAGTTATGACGTCATGGTATTTTTGCGTCAAATAGCTTACTTATTTCTTAATAATTTGCTACAAAATATCTAAAACTTACACCCGGTTTCTGAAAGGCTTGTCAACGCTAAAATTAACTAATCTCCTGTTAAATCTCTTGTCAAGTCATCTGATTGGTTGTTGATAATTCAGTCAACCAATCAGATGACTTGACTAGAGATTAAATTGATTTTAACATTGATCGGCCTTTCGAAAACCGGTGTCGACCGATCGATGAATAAAAGTCGAATTAATTTATTTTTACCTAGGAAACAACCCAATTGGTCGAAAACAATTCGCCGATATTGCCTTCGGCGAATAGTGATTGATTTCGAGGAATTACCATTCGAAAAATTGTCGTTCGGTGAATTGTTTTTTCGATAACATGTGTTCGATGAATTTTTCGCAAATCGATTAATGCTCAGACCTTCTCAGTGTGAGAAGATGCCTTTGCTCAGCAGTGGGCACTTATAGGCTGATTTTTTTTTTGTATGGTAGGACCGGATCAACTGACTGATGGTAAGCATGCACGCCGTCCATGGACACTCGCAATAACGGAGGAGTTACGAGTGCGTTGCCGACCTTTTGAGGATTGGGGATTTGGGATGGGGGGAGGGGATAAAAAAACAATATTTCAAAAGAGGAATGTTTATTTATTTCCTTGTCATTTCTCTACAGAATACAGAAAAATATTTAGTTAGGGCTGATTTTTCAACAGTCAGATAAATGTTATATGTGGAATAAAATTGTTGCTGTCACTGTCTTATACAAACATTCTGACGCGACAGCATCATAATTGTTCCACAGGTAACTTTTATCTAACCATTGAAAAAGCCCTTATTATTATATTACTTAAACTACTTATAATGATCCTTATATTTCTTGAAAAACTTGATCTGTTTTGCAAATAGGTACCTATGTTAAAGATACAATTTCGATTTCTATTAACATATTTCCATGTGAATATTATTTTATGTGATATGTCGGCAAACGAGCAGACGGATTACCTGATGGCAAGCAATCAGCGCCGCCCATAGACACTCGCAACCCCACAGGAGTCACGAGGGCGTTGACGGCCTTTCGGGGATGAGTGTGTCAGAAATTAGAAATTGGAGATACATCTTTGGCTCCATATCTACATCCAAACTAATAAATGTTATTTAAGCGAAAGTAAGTCTGTCTGTCTTTTCTTCACGCCTAAACTACTGAACCTATTTGTGTGAAATTTGGTACAGACATAGTTTGGAACTCGAGAAAGGACATAGGATATATTTTAAACCAAAAATCTGCAGGGAGTCACTATGCCACGAACAAAGTCGCGTGCAAAAGCTAGTTCAAAATATTTTCCATTTAAGAAATAATAATTCAAAGACACTACGTAATAGTAATTACAGACATCACTTTATTAAGTTTTATCATTATTATTATTTACAAATACGTATTTCACATTTATAACACAGGTAAAAAAATAAAAAAAAGGAACAAAAAAAACCAAACAATTTTCTTGAAAACTTAAAAAAATGCAATAAAATGAGACAATATTGTTTATAAATACTTAAGTACCGTAAAATATAATTTTTTATCATTACATGATATATATTTTTTTCTTATATTTAAATCACAATAATATTATTATATTTTTTAATTAGTATATAATAGCTTATCATTTATAAGCACGGCCGTTAAGCGTTACTGTACCGCAGCCTCGGCCCAGAGCAGGAGAAGGAACGGGAGGGTTTTTAGTCAGTAAGAGTCTGACACACTCTCTCAAAGAAAACAGCATGTGATAGTAATAATAATAAGAAAAAACTTTCTCAAAGTCATCTATACTAATATTATAAAGAGGTAAAATTTGTAAGTTTGTATGTAAGGGGTAATCTTTGGAACCGCTGGTCGGATTTCCAAAATTCTTTCACTGATAGATAGCTACAATGTTTCTGAATGCTATAGGCTATAAAACATCACGCTACGATCTGTAGAAGCCGAGCAGCGGGTGAAACCGCGCGAGAGTAGCTAGTTGTTAATAACTTGACTAACTCAAGTCAATAAATTGAGAAAAGCTCAACTAGTTTCAAGTTACTACGGGACTCTTATGGCGCGTTGGAAAAGCAAGAAAAAGAAGAAGAAAGAGTCGTTACCATAAAAGCGAAATTAAAGAGCTTAGATCATAATAACTTGCGTTAGTAAAAGTTGTTTGTTATCATTTTTTTTTTATAAGGGAACTAGCTACTTTCGCGCGGTTTCAACCTCTGCTCAGCTCCATTTGATAGTAGCGCGATGTTTTATAGCCTATAGCACTCAGGAACATTGTAGCTATGTATCAGTGAAAGAATTTTGGCAATCCGAGAAGCGGTTCCAAAGATTACCCCCTACATACAAACTTACAAATTTTACCTCTTTATAATATTAGTATAGATGTAATTAAGAGGGAGTTTCAGACTCTTACTGACTAAAAACCAACCAGTTCCATCTCCTACTCCTAGCTGGATTATTAGAACTACGCTTAGTAATGCGCGCCAGGCTAAACTATACTAATTAAATGACATTTTGAATAAATTAAATTATTATTATTATACATATATATCACATTTAAGCAACAAAGCAGTTAAATAAAACAGATTTTAATTAAGTAAATATATCATTTCGCCATTATTTCATTAAGGGCTGATTTTTCAATAAACAGATAAATGTTATCTGAGGAATAAAATTGTTGCTGTCACTGTCTTATACAAACATTCTGACGCGACAGCATCATAATTATTTCCCAGGTGACTTTTTGTCGAATGTTGTGGTGGCCCGGAGGAGCCCGCTTCTCATGCACGAGGATGTGGTTTCGAAACCTGGCAAGTACCAATGTGACTTTTTTCCGAATTATATGTACTTTCTATGATTATTTAGACACCACTGACATACGATTAAGGAAAACATCGTGAGGAAACCTGGACTTATAATTTCTAATTATAAATTTTAAATCGCCATCCCGCATTGAGCAAGCGTGGTGATTAATGCTCTAACCTTCTCCGTGTGAGAAGAGGCCTTTGCTCAGCAGTGGGCACTTATAGGCTGATGATGATGATGATGATGATGAACTTTTTATCTAACCATTGAAAAATCAACCCTAAAGGGATGGCAGAGGCGTGCTTACACGCCTATAATAAGAGTTCCCATATCTTAAGGGATAAGCGATTCAAAAACAAAAATATAATTTTGATTTACCACCAAGTAGAATTTTGTATTTTGTATCGTGAATGGATGTTGGCAAATTTTCTTAGTAGTTAGAGTCTGAAGTTAGCCGTTTGTCTGCGCAATGGATCTTTTAGGAACAAAATTGTGTACTGCGCAGCTAATCAGCTAACTTCAGACTCGCCAAGATACGTTGGCGGTATTGTATCTATTCACCCTTCTTCTGTCTCCATTCGCCCTCAAATTCAATTCACCCCGTTTTACCGTAGGTATAAACTACAGTTTCAATACGGTATTTTCCAACTAGTCAAATTCAATACTTTTATCCAAATGTCTAAAACGATACTTTTCTATGAAATTTGTATGAAACTCCAAATTATGTTATAGTATTTTTTGAATCAAATAGCTTAATTATTTCATTATTTCTTAAAAATGTTGAAAATTTGGTATATCGACATATCGACGAATAAAATTATAGTTATTTTTCAACATTTTCTTGTATTGAAACGTCGAATTAATTCACTTTTTACCTACTACATAGGAAACAACCCAATTATTTCAGAACTTCACACACGAGTCAGTCCAGTGTAGAAAATTAAGTACAAAATAATTAAAAGTTCCAAAATATAATAGCTTCTCACTCTTTAGGCATAAAAAACAGCATACTTATAACTAATTTTGTAACAAAAAAATACAACCTATAATTCACCATTATTATGAAAAAATAGCCTCAAATTAAGCCTTAACACACATTAAGTATCAAAACTGAACACAAAATTTACAGACACGTTACGTATGTACGCGTACGATATAAAAAAATAACAATTTCAAATTTATTAAAAAGCTAACAATGACATCTGTCGTTATTGCACTCAGTAGAGGGCGCCACAAGCGAGTTTGGTCTCTCAA